TGTCAAATATGTTAAAAAATAAGTGGCGGATATTCTTGTGAGTTAATCCACAAATTGTCTTTATACCTTATTTTGTAAGTTTGTAGATTCTAATCTTTAAACATTACTTGTAACTGACTCATCAGCTTCTTTTTACAGCGAACAAGCCCATTCTTTAAATGTCCTATTTATCTTTTCCATCAATGCCATGCCATGAATTATTTCCTTGATAGGACTAATTTATTTGTGAATTTGGGCATGTTTATTATTGGTATCAAGATCTAGAATCAAAGACTTTTGGAATGTGTTCCGAGCGTTCAACACTATAGAACATATCGGTACATCGGAAATAAAGCAACCCCAACGTTCGCCTCTTATTAATACTAATTTTATTTTCAGATGAACCTGAAAGTGGGAATTGCAGTATTGATAATAGCTCTTATTGTTCCATCAGCACAGCCTTATATTTACCGCGGATATGACCGATCAAGTAAGTATACTCTTCACACGAGAAATACATCCACGGAGGTTCTCGTTGTCAAGCATTCTGTTGAAAGTGGCAATATCTGTAAAATTTGAACCTAAGTAAGGGAGGGATAAGACAAATTATCGATCATCTACCCTGGGTCCTTAATACCCTCATTTTACCAAGCATTATTTTGGTCTCTAAAGTACCTGATATCTGTCAGGAATCTGTGAACAAAATCGAGCATTACCTACTACCTTCGAAGGAAAGATTTGGCGTGATCGGCTCAGTCCTCCGACTGGGGTATTACAAAAGCCCGCCATATAGGCCTACCTTGACTTATAATACCTCGACCATGCGACCAGATTTCTCGACAACTGGATATTGATAAGAGGACTTGTTGTTGTCTTTCAGGCGATCCAAACTTTGATATGTTCGGAAGATCAGTAGCAGGTGACAATGCCTACAGACAACCGTTAAGAACTCTACAAAGCCCAGCGCCAATGGTTCCACGGGCAATGCCTCTTCAGAGACAAATGTATGTACCACCAAGAGCGCCGATGATAGCACCAAGAGTGCCGATTAGAGCACCGATGAGTCCAGTAAGACCAGGGGTGCTCCAAACTCAACCAGTTATGCCGATACCGTACCATCATCCCCATTATTATCCTGGATATGATCCACCAAGTTATGACCCACCAGATATCAGTCAACCGGATCCACCCGGTGAATACTTCTACCATCCTCGTCCTCGCCCTAATCTAGGTATCTACAATCCTTCTCGCATCACAGCGTTTAATAGAGCATATCTTCGTTGATGAATGTATCTTAAACACTATTTGATGTCCATCTTTTTCGGTGCATTTAGAAATACAGTACGGGCATAACTGAGAACTATATAATTTGTTCAGATTGGTCTGAACCCCGAATTTTTATCAAAATTTATTACTTATCAAGTATGTTAAACCTCATACCATGGAAATTATGATATATTTTGAGCATAATATTCTTGATGCCGTGCACACTCAGAAATAAGTAATGTGTAAGCGGCACCCGATTATGTAAAATAGTTGGGCTATGGGATAGTTAGATAAAACCTTCGTTGGCAGCTTATTTACCGCGATAAAATTGTACACTATTGCTTTAATTAGAATAATTTACGTTTATTGAGAATATAACAGCAAACTAATGTCTTTTATTTTTACAATCGTGTCAGACTTCGAAAGAAAGATGTTAGCTGACATTGCCGATAACATTCATACTGTCTGGTATTGCACACCTATAGGCCAACAACTCTTCTCTTGCACTGGGATTTTTGGAAACTTATTTACCTCTAATTTGGCCAGACTTTCCCAAAAACCTTATAATTTAAATTACACTGGCTTGCTGGCTGAACAGGAATTCTCCACCATCCCCGGACCCCTCTGTAAATATATCTTTTTCAACATAGAACCCCTTTCTGAGAGTCCGCTTGATTCTGTTGGTGGGCATGACTTCTGGTCAAGATTTAACTTTAAGTTATTGAGTGAAAGCCCAATTTGGATTTGATTTCCATCGCTAAACCTTTTACGCGAGAGTCGTTAACGCGGCGCGTATTTCTGCCCTACGTATATTCATATAGTCGTATAGTAGAATTGCTTATACTACCAAAATGAAAAAAATGTTTTAAAATCAAGCAACCTATACACCTGTCAATGATCACATCTTTCTTTTTCTGATCAGATCAGTGTATTAAATCTAAAGAAACACTTTCCACCTTGCGATAATATTAAAAAACGGAAAAAAGGGAAGCATTTCTCGACAACATACGTCGTTGGAAGCTAAGGTTAAAGTTCAAATTAAAGCTATGCCAGGTTCTCGCAATGAAATTAATAATTAAAGCCTATGGGGTCCACTAAGGTTTCATCAAATTATCATTAATTGTGAAAATTGCGTGGTTTCACCTGAAGGAAACTTCATGAATATAATTACATTTAGATTTACGTCCTAGACCATAAACATGTTTGTTTAGATTATAATGACAGCAGACAACATCACGTCTTGTAAGAGGTAATTTCACTGGTTGACCCATGCTATGCTTTTTGAATGTCAGGTGTCTCGGCCATGATATTAAAGGAAAAATAACGAAGTTATGTCCCTTTAACCATGAAGTCATTTCAACGAGTGTTCACCAGGAAAACATTATTTATTGCTAAATAAAAATAAGTAATGCAATTACGACTCATACATGTACTATCACAAATATTATAATGTACATTGTACATTTAAATCATAGAATAAAAGTTGGGAAGAGGTTCACAAGAAATATTAAGTAGTCTGAAAAGTGACATCTACCAAAATAAGCCATTGTTCACAGGAGCAGCTACCTGGTAAGGATTGTAATGGTGATGTACTCTGTTATAATCTCTATATCCACCAAACCATTGATTCTGATTTCCAAAGAAATTGCCTCTGTACCAGGGATTTGTAAATCGAGGGAAGTAAGGTTGATAGTGATGTCTTCCAAAGTAATTAAAATCTAGATCTGAAATTCGGTAACAATACAAGTCATTGTATAAAAATAACAAAATATTTTCACTGTTGGAATAGTGCTTAATACACCCCCTCTCCGTCTCCTACGTCTATGTGAAAGAGATACATATACAGGTTACAATATGGGACAATAGCACTTTTGGAAGACTTTTGGTAATATAAAATCGAAAGAATATCAAGGTAACAGTAACATATGTATGAGTAAATTCTACCGTAGGCCAACAGTTATCGCAGTAAATACCACAGCATTATATATTGACGATATGTGATCCATTGGGGTATTACCTGAAAGTTTACTGTCAATTTAATTTCATTGATAATGGTACTGATAATATATAACAGTTTTGTGTAAACCGTGTTAAATACAGATTTTGCTACAAGCTTCGTGAAATACTGAAACAGTACAATCATATTTTATGTCACCATTTTAGTGAAAATCTTGGATCTTCAACTTGAATTAAGAAAAGCGAAGAAATAGATGACAGTTAATCTTACCTTCCTTGGTGTTTGCTGCGCCACAGAAACCGACGACAACAATAATAACAACAGCACAAATAATCATAGCTTTCATATTGATGACAACGAGTTCTGTATGGAATACAAAGATATAAGAAAAAAATGAAGACACAAAAGTTTCACCAAATTATCAACAACATGCTGTAATCGGTTCAATTTGCCAAAACATTATAACGTTTCAATCTGTTCTACAACACACACAAACAATGTTTTCGTGAGAAAGAGACTGATAAAACAACTAACTCATACCTCAACGGCTGATTGCAGGACTACAGATGCTTCTCTATATCCTTGTTCTGTGTCTGTCTACAAAGTAGATGCATGACCACAGATTTTCTCCAATTTATACTGTTTTAGTTACTCCATGTCATCCGCAAAAAATATATCTCATTTGTTATTTTATGTTATTACTACAAAAAGTCTGCGGTTGAGGTAAG